AAAGTCGAATTTTTCTAGCTTATCACAAAGCTGGACGTGATCACGAAGCTCTGCGAGTACTTGTACAACTCACTGGAAATGCAGTAGATGAAAATAGATTCTCTGATGCTGGGTATGACCTTTTTGTCAGAAATCCAAATTTTTTTCTTATAAAAATTAATTTTAAGAGAAAGTTGTAGGAAATCCAATTATGTCATGTTAAGAAACTTTGCCTAAATTATAGCCCTCTTTGAGTAAACAATGCATTTTATTGCTAGTATTAGATTTCATAATAGAACTTTTTAAATGAAATTTTTTTATTCAATTTTTTGAAAAAGTTTTGATCTGTCAATAAACATGATTTTAAGCTGACGCTCCTTCCAGGTATTATCATTGGCTCCTAAGTATGCAGTACCTTGAAAGATCCAAGGATAATCCTTCCCTCATTCCAAAATATCACGCTAGCGCAAAACTTGCCGAGGTCTACTATGCATATCATGCCATATTCCTATACTGTGTAAGTCTATTTGCTTTGATATCACTTTATTCAACATTTTACTGCATTGGTAAGTTTAAAAAAAGCCATTTGAATTGAAGTGAGCAGTGGCTAAGTTTCGCAACAGGTGGCAGGTGTTTTCAATAGTTGCGCGTGATTGCCAAGCGCGCGTGACTAAGTTTTATGGAAAGGCTACTTTCTAAATTATGAGAACCAGATTGCTTCAAAACGATAGGCAGAGTTGACTGCAAAGAGCTTGAGCTTTATGAAAGCCACTCACTCGAAAGATGCTACTAGAGCCGGCCGCTAGTCGCGCACACAATCTCTTATCTTCTGACATCTCAATAATTGTCATTGGGAGCTTGTGAGACGCATTGCTAGAGAAAACTCGGTGATCTTTGAAAAGCTAAAGCTGACATAATCGCTACTCGCGGAAGACTTCTAGAAATTTTTTCGCATAAAGCGAAAGGCTTCGATAACTTACCTAACTATTTAGAATCAGCCCTTCACTCGACACAGCTCTGAAACCCTTCTGAATATGGCCAGATACCTTGCGGCTCAAGAACCTGTGCCCAACATCTCCCAAGTGTTAGTCTTAAATTTCAAGGGCTCTCATTTTCTTGCCATCTCCCTTGATTTTTAGTCTTATCAACTACACCATGGCTCGAATAGGTCGTGAACTTGGAGCTTACAAATTAGCTCGTGACACTTTGGACCGCCTCGGGAATCTAAGGGTACCGCCACGATTGCAAAGGGACGTCGAGTTGATGACAGTAAACATTAGGGCTAAGCCTTTTTCAGATGCTGAAGATTTGCTGCCTGTATGTCATAGGTAAAGTAATTTCTCCTAAGTTTTTTGTGTTTGGCTGATAAAATTCAATTGTTTTTGCAAAGATGTGGCCTGAATAACCCATTGACATGTGGAATGAATTGTGTGCACTGCAAAACTCCATTTCAGTACTCATTTGCTACTTTTGGTATGGAACCTCCCCTAAATAGTTGGTTGAGGTATTTTTAAATTTTTTTCTTTTCAGAAATCCTACCTCTAATCGAGTTTTATATCGATGACGATATCCCAGCTGAAGAGGCGGTAAGCCTGGTAGAATCCGAACCACCTCTATCTGATTCGAACTTCAACCCTTTTCAGAATGTTGCGGTTGGTCTTTTTTAGTCAAAGTTACTGGAACTTATTACTGATCTCATTAATCAATCTCTGAAAATATTCAGAAAAAATCCGGTGAGATCCGCCTAAATCGCGACGACTTAACTCGACTTGAGAAAGGCCAAGTGATCATTCTGCATTGGCCCGAACCTTTAAAAACCAGATTTCTCTTCAATCAAATGCCCTCTATCTCGGTGTCGAAATGTCCATCATGTAATAAGGTATACCTCCCTACTTCTACGCATATTTTATCAATCGATAAATCAA